TTTTTTTTTTTTTTTTTTCTCTTCTCTTTCCTTTTTACTTCAATTTAACTCAATTGAACTATCCATCAACTCATACTACTGACTATCTGACTAAAAAAAAACAACAGACACTACCTAACCAACCAGACATAATGCTTTTTCTTTCTTTTTTTTTTTTTTTGTCTTATATTTATTGATTTTTTTCCAATTGAAATTATTACACAGGCCGCAGGTGTCTCATTATTGGGAAAACGTCCGGTTTCTCCAGGACTCACTTCCAGAGCACGCATCATTTGTATCATTTCTTTCACAATGCAGTATTGTTCCTCATAGCTAATCTGCGGCATTGGTCCCTCAATACATTCATTGACAGTAGCCATACTTCTATTTTGATCAATATGCACGTCCGTGGCTTACTGTGTTTCTCTTTACTTAACTGATTTTATTTTTGCTAGGCCCCCTTGATTTACCTGAAGCACACCTCTAGAGCTAACAGTTGGAGTCTAAATCATAATTAGGCTATTGCTACTAGCCGAAAAAAAAAACTCCACTCACATAAGAATAAATTAATAGGTATAAATGTAATCAAAAAAACAAAAATTTTCTGGTTTTAATTTAAATCTTTCCTCTTTTTTCTTTTTTTTTTTGTTTTTTTATTTATTTGTTTATTATAAAATAATAACAACAAAAAGAAAAAAAAAACAATATATATATGTATATATACTGACAAATGAAATAAAATTTATTTACACACCATAAAAAAACTAATATTTTTAACCATCCTCTATTTTTACATACCTATAGATATACTTATAAATATAATTAAAATAAAGTACACATATCTAAATCAAATTTAGATAAAATATCTCTAATGCACATCAATTTTTTTTTTTTAAATATCAACCTGCGTTTATTATTTTTTATTTGAGTTTATAACAGGTACTTACTAGCCCCGCTGAAATGACGTCACCTCGCGCGCTCCAGTTACCTAGCTGCTTAAAAAAAATTAAATAGAGAGAGTTTATGTAAACACATGAATCCGTGTCTATATTGTAAAGCAACTATTGATGTGCGTAAAGAGATTTTATGTCTTTTGAAAAATTTATGTTCACAATAACTTAATTTATGTATTTATTAATTCATGTATTAATTAAAAAAAATATAAAAAAATTCAAAAAAACTAAAAAAATAATAAAGAAACTAACGGCCTTATTCATAAAAAGTTATAGTAGGTTTGTAATACATTTTATCAAAAATGTTATTCATAAACGTTATTTAACAGTGTTATAAAGCATTTATAAAACTGTATTCATAAACGTATTTTAAACTTAAAATGCTGTTAAAATGCTGTTAAAATATGTCAAAATTTATAATAGGTTTATACCTTCTATAACAGCATTTTAAGCACAATTTTTGATTGTGTAGTAATTTTTTTTGGGTGAATTACAATTAAATATGGATGCCATAAGCATAATTAAAGAAATTGGTGAGTATTTAATTTAATTTTTTATATAATTTTATATAATTATATAATTTTTTTATTTTTTTACACAATTAAAAACGAAACTATTGTGTAGATTTTTTAAATGGAATAGCCAAAAAAAATTGCCGCCGTTTAAAAATATATAAACAACGTGAAGATCCGTTTATGCTGCGTGATGATGAATTTCTCTTAATTTTTATTTTTGTGCTGCATTAATTCATATTTCTCACAGTGTTGTAAAATGTTTTGTGTTTAACAGTAATGTTATTAACATTTGTATTATAGTTATCAAAGGTTTATAATACGTTTATGAATAATGTGCATGTGCATTATAAGGCCATTATAAAGTTAAAATACATTTTAACTAAAATGTATTTAAAAAGCATTTTAAGAAATTTTTATGAATAAGGCCGTAAATATACAAAAACTGATTTTTTTTTTTTCTTTTCAAAATTCACTATAAATATTATTGCTTTGTAATGTAATAGAAAAAAATCAAAAACAAATTAAAAAGAAAATATAGATATAAAAAAATTAATGGTTTTACAAGAAAAACTTAAGTTCAAATAAATATAATTCCATATTTTGATATAATTTCTTCTTTTAATAATTTATAAAATAACAGCGAATTTTACAATCTGCGACCTCAATGTATTCTCAATAGAACTGATGTTGAAATACTTGCTAATGTCCTCCGTTATAATAGCTGTCTGCTTGCGGTGCTGAGAAATTCCTTACTGTACTCCCTATTCTAGGTCAATTTTCACCACATTTTACTGTTCACAATTTAGAATTCTAGGTAGCCAAGTGTTAAATTATTTAACAAAACTGTTACTTTTGGCAGTAACTTTTATATTCTAATTTTTACAGAATTTTCTTTCTTGTTCACAATGTTGAATTCTACGTAGTCACTGTTAAAGACTTTATTTAAACAAAACTGTTACTTTTGGCAGTAACTTTTATATTCTAATTTTTACTGAATTTTCTTTCTTGTTCACAATGTTGAATTCTACGTAGTCACTGTTAAAGACTTTATTTAAACAAACTGTTACTTTTGGC